TTAAAAACTAAATTAGAAAATGCTTTAGAAAATAAAAAGGGCCAGTGGCAAGCATTCGGCCCAGCAACCCAGCACGGCGCGGCCGCGCGTGCGTTGCAACGGCCCAAGGCCAGGGAGCCCGCGCACGACGACGGTTTTACCAAGAAGCCTCCGAGCTTCGAGGTAATAGTACGACTACCACGTGCATTGTTCCTATCGGCAGTGGCTTTGCGACCAAGCCCTCGTTGTTTTCGTCCTCACCACAGGCAGGTCCCTTGAATCCCCGTGCTCGTTGACGCGGCGGCCGACGGCATAAGGCGGTTACACCGGACAACCTAGGCATGCTACGAAGGAAGTAAGGGGCCAACCACCATCTACAGCTAAACACGCAAGGATGTGTGGCGGTTAGGAGCTCGGAGGCGCACTGTCGCGAGTTGCAGCGGCAAGTGGCTATCCGCGACGGTTAGGGGCTCGGAGCTTGATCACTATATCTGGATTGCATAGAGATCGTAGAAAATTAACATATTTGTAGGTGGCTTGTTTTTTGAGTAGAGTTAGAGCAAAAAGCATTTATGCTATTCAGTTGTCTAATATTTTGCTATAATATTTATAGAAATTTTTATTAGTCTATTCACATGTCCTTTAGCCATTTAGAATCTTTTACCAGCGCCACTAGCACTGGGCTTAGGTCGGCCGAGTGGGCGGCGCGGCAGAGCGAGCACCTCCAACACCAGCGCGCACGACGGCAGGGTGCGCGGCAGCAGCGAGGGGAGTGTATCCACGTCTAAAACGGGGCAGCCGCAAGGCAGTGTCCGATGATTTGCTAAGATAAGACGCGTAGCATTACCGGTGTCGCTTTTGTAGGCGGATCGATGGCTAGAAAATACAAATCGGCACCTAGCCGCGGCTTTTGACCGCACCAGTTCACCACCACGACACCACCCGCGCACGGCGCAGGACCCGCCCAAACCCAACCCAAAGGCGGTGGCCGCGCCGCGTCGGCTCCAGCGCGATACGACCGATACAACAACGAACTCCGCCTCCCCCCTCCCGGTCCCGTCCCGGCTCCCTCGGCCCCCGGCTTGTGTGCTGCGGCTGCGGGCACTTCGCCTTCGTCTGTTCGTCCCCGAGGGCTGAGACGGGGAAGAAACCCCGTACCCTATCGCGCTCGCCCCGCAGAGGGAGGGGGAGGGGGAGGGGAGGGGACGGGACGGGACGGGAGGGGAGGAACGAACGGACTGGAGGGAGGCATCTGGAATTCTCAGCCCCCATCTCCGCCGCGGCCTCCTTCTCCAGCACGCGAGGCCGCCGGTACTCCGCCGTCTCTTTAACTCTGTTGAATCGCTGGTACTCCGCCGTGGAGTCCCTCCCCCATCTGCCGGCCGACTCGGATTAGATTGGATTGGATTGCTGTTGGTGAGTAATCCACCCACCCATCCGTCGGCCCTCGCTTTGTTGCTGGTTCATATCTTCTGACGAATTCGACTGGATTCCTTGTCTGCTCCCTATTCAGATCCCAAAAGCCTGGGGCCTGGTGCTACAAGGCCGCTACTTCCCTTTGCCCCACTGCTACGCGCGCGCGCGCGGGAGCCTTGTGCCCCGTCGTCTCCGGGAGACGCCATGGACGAAGAGGACGACGACCAGCGCCTGCTGCACAGCCTCGGCGTCACGTCCGCCAACATCGAGGACATCGAGAAGAAAATTTTCTCGCAGGCAAAACCCAGTGCCTTTTCCCCCCTCCTCCTCGCGCGTTCCATTCCTCTCTCGCATCTCACCACCACAGCTTTGAGTAATCCCCCCCACCCACAATCTGCTCAGGTTGCCGTCCCGTATGTGTTGTGCAGGTCCAAACTGAACCCAAGCGCGACGATGAGCCAGGAGCAGCCGTCGATGACCCCAGCAGGAGCAATGTTGCGCCTGAGTCTGATGCGCAGGCCAAGCTGCACCAGAAGCTGCGCTCGGTGCAACTCGAGATCAACGCCGTAGCTTCCACCATTAAAAGAGCTAAGAACGCAGCTGGTAAGAAGGTCGACAGCTCGGACAGCGCTGATGGACAAGATAAAAAGAAGCAGAAGCAAGCCGATCGCACTGCTCAGGACGAACCTCATGGAGGAGCACTCCAGCAGGCGCTCGCCACCGAGCGCCTTAAAAGCCTCAAGAAAGCTAAAGCTCAGATTCAGAAAGAGATATCGCAGTCGGACCCCAACCCGTCTGGCTCAGACAACCGGAAAGATAAAATGCTGGCCATGCTGGTTGAAGACGAGCCGAGGCGTAAGAAGTCGCTACTGCCGGCTCGAGGACCTAAGAAGATGTCGGCTCCTAGACTGAAAACCATGAGTTATAATGACGATGAAGACTTTGACGCAGTGCTTGATGGGGCTTCTGCAGGATTTATGGAAACAGTGAGCTACTACTCCTTGGGGCTTCTTATTTCTTGTCTCATTTGTTATATTTCAGTGCTTTCTGATGCTATTCTCTATATGGCGTAGGAAAGGGAAGAACTAATCAGGAAGGGCTTACTGACACCATTTCACAAGTTGAAGGGCTTTGAGAAGCGTGTCGAGCTGCCTGGACCTTCTCATAGGCAAAATGATCCCTCCGAACAAGCTGAAGAAACAATTGAAGCTTCCAGGATTGCTAGGGTTGCTCAGTCAATGCATCAGATTGCACAAAGTCGCCCAACGACCAGATTGCTTGATCCAGAATCTTTACCTAGGCTGGACGCACCTACTGCTCCATTTCAAAGGCTTGGAAGGCCTCTAAAGCGTCCTGTATCTCCTAGTTCAGAAGAACAGGAAAGGAAGAGACAAAGGAATAAGACCAAGAGGCCCTTGCCTGACAAGAAATGGAGGAAAGCCAATTCAAGGAAGGAATCACTATTGGAAACTGACGGTATGTCGAGTTTGGTTTACAGTTTCTAAGACTGTAAGCTCTGCTATTATTTTGTTTCTATATGCATATATCAAATGCCGATGTAATCCTTTTTGCTGCGTTTTCTTGTTATAAGTCCCTATGGAAATACTCATCGCTCCACACCTTGGCAGCCTCTTGCTATTATTCACCGAAACACAAAATAACCACCAGGAAGGAAAAAAAACTTTGACAAAAAACCCTAAATGACTATCTCCCCATACCCATCCTCGTTGTTCCTATGACCCAACAAAATAGAACACAACTCCTAATGAATTATTTGTGTACTCACAGATGAGGATGTTGGGGACTTCGTGGCATCAGTTTCTGAGGAAGATGATCAAGCAGCAGAAGGTTTTGATGGGTTATCTCCTGTTATCCTTGAAGGTGGTTTGAGAATTCCTGGCACAATTTATGAACAGCTATTTGATTACCAAAAAGTGGGAGTGCAGTGGTTGTGGGAGTTACACTGTCAAAGGGCTGGTGGAATTATTGGAGATGAAATGGGCCTGGGAAAAACTGTGCAAGTCTTATCATTTCTTGGTTCTTTGCATAACAGCAGCATGTACAAGCCCAGCATCGTTATTTGTCCTGTAACACTTCTGCAACAGTGGCAAAGGGAGGCCGGTAGGTGGTATCCAAAGTTCAAGGTGGAGATCTTACATGATTCTGCAAATGGTTCAAGTAAAAAGAGCAAGGCATATAGTGATCCTGACAGCGAAGGTTCTTGGGATAGTGATCAGGAAGAGGTTAGACGTGCAAAGCCTGCAAAGAAGTGGGATGACTTGATTTCACGGGTTGTAAATTCAGGATCAGGTTTGCTTTTAACCACATATGAGCAGCTAAGAATCTTAGGGAGAAGTTGCTTGATATAGAATGGGGATATGCTGTGTTGGATGAGGGTCATCGTGATAAGGAACCCCAATGCTGAGATAACGCTGGTGTGCAAGCAACTGCAGACTGTGCACAGGATAATCATGACAGGTGCACCTATTCAGAATAAACTTTCTGAGCTCTGGTCTCTTTTCGATTTCGTGTTCCCTGGAAAACTAGGTGTGCTGCCTGTATTTGAGACTGAATTTTCTGTGCCAATTACTGTTGGTGGTTATGCTAATGCGACACCATTGCAGGTGTCAACAGCATACAGATGCGCTGTTGTTCTGCGTGATCTTATCATGCCATACCTTCTTAGACGGATGAAAGCTGATGTCAATGCACAGCTCCCCAAGAAAACAGAGCATGTCCTTTTCTGTAGTTTAACTCCAGAGCAGCGTTCTACTTATCGTGCTTTTCTTGCTAGTTCAGAGGTGGAACAAATATTTGATGGCAATAGAAATTCACTGTATGGTATAGATGTCCTAAGGAAGATATGCAATCATCCTGATCTACTTGAGAGAGAACATGCTGCTCAGAATCCTGACTATGGGAATCCTGAAAGAAGTGGAAAGATGAAAGTAGTAGAGCAAGTTCTCAAAGTCTGGAAGGACCAAGGCCACCGAGTTCTTCTGTTCACTCAAACTCAACAAATGCTTGACATTTTAGAGAACTTCTTGACGGCCTGTGGCTACCAATACCGAAGAATGGATGGACTAACACCTGCAAAACAAAGGATGGCACTAATGGATGAGTTCAATAACACAGATGAAATCTTTGTTTTCATTCTGACCACAAAAGTTGGTGGATTGGGTACAAACTTGACTGGTGCAAACAGGATTATTATTTATGATCCGGACTGGAACCCTTCAACAGACATGCAGGTGCAGTTTATTATGAGTATTTTGTGTCTAGCTGATTTGTATTTTTTTATAAGTGTGTACTTATTAGCCTTTAACTTTTTTTGTGTACATGCATTAGTGTGACTATCAATACAATTGTTGTACCGGACCTTAAAAAAGGTTGACATGAAAAACTGGATGCCAGTTGAGTGATGACTTGAGAGATGAATAATTTTGAATCATTATCTGCTTATAAACTTACAAGCATAATCTCCTGTTTATTATGTCCTAACTCCTAAGCTATGTGCACACTTTCACTATTCTTTCATAAAGTGCTCTGCAAGCTTGCATCAATATCTGATCAGAACTTACCTGATTAAACTTTTTGTGATGTAGGCTAGAGAACGTGCATGGCGAATTGGGCAAACTAGAGATGTAACGGTTTACAGACTGATCACACGTGGGACGATAGAGGAGAAAGTCTATCACCGACAGATATACAAGCATTTCCTTACTAACAAAGTACTGAAAAACCCTCAGCAGAAGAGATTCTTTAAAGCCAGAGACATGAAGGATTTATTCATATTACAAGACGACGAAGGGAACGGTTCAACTGAAACATCAAATATTTTCAGCCAGTTGTCTGAAGATGTGAATATTGGGGTTCCAAATGATGGTCAACAAGATCAGGCTCATATTGCTTCGGCTTTGCCAAGCACCAGTGAAGCTGAACCATCTAATGGAGGGGAAGGGAGAGTGGACGTTAACTCTGACCAAGCAGATGAAGAATCGAACATTTTGAAGAGTCTTTTTGATGCTCAAGGCATTCATGTAAGCAGTATCTTCTCATCCCTAACAAAACTTCTTTGTGCAATGCTTCAATTTTCTGAGTTAACATCCTGTTTTCTGAACTCTGTCAGAGTGCTATCAATCATGATGCCATAATGAACGCTAATGATGACCAGAAAGTGCACTTAGAAGCAGAAGCTTCACAGGTGGCACAAAGGGCAGCTGAAGCTTTACGTCAATCACGGATGCTCAGAAGCCGTGACAGTTTTGCTGTTCCCACATGGACCGGAAGATCTGGTGCTGCTGGGGCACCCTCCTCTGTTCGCAGGAAGTTTGGGTCCACAGTTAACATCCAGTTGACCCGTTCCTCACAGCCATCAGAAACTTCCAGCAGCAGGAGTCAAAGTCTTCCAGTGGGTGCTCTGAATGGCAAGGCACTGTCATCTGCTGAACTTCTGGCTAAGATTCGTGGAACCCGAGAGGGAGCTGCTTCAGATGCCTTGGAGCATCAGCTCAACGCAGGATCAGCTTCCAATCATGTATCAAGTCCATCTGGGAACGGCGGCCGCATATCTAACTCTTCTAACAGAAGCATGATCGTGCAACCAGAAGTCCTGATCCGCCAGTTGTGCACCTTCATACAGCATAGCGGTGGGTTTGCCAGCTCCACGAGCATAACGGAACACTTCAAAAGCCGCATTCAGTCCAAGGATATGCTTCTCTTCAAGAACCTGCTGAAGGAGATAGCAACTTTGCAAAGAGGCGCGGACGGTTCTATGTGGGTGCTGAAACCTGATTACACGTGATTTTTAACTGTAGTTCACAGGAGCGAAATTTTGGTCTAGGAGTTGTTTTCGATAGGGATTTTGGTTTTCGGAAATTTGATAGGGTGATCTTTTTTGGTGGCTTACTGAGAGATTCTTTTTGTAAGGAAGGACTTGACACGAAGAAATCTTAGGAGATGTGTTGTGAATACAAGAATAGGAAGTCTTGGGATATCCCAACATGCTATGCTCTTCTTCCAGTCTAAAAAGTCTTGGAGAAAGGCTAGCAGATTTTACAGGCCACAAGGGTTAGCCTGGTGCTGAAGTTTTTCAATAGCTTCTTCTTACCTCTGGATTAGTTGGCCAGTAATTGTTTCCATCAGAAATATTGTGCTTGTTTAGCGGAATGTGGTATTTTGCTACGTATAGGATCGGTTAGACTTGTTGAATCCAGGGCCAGGGCCTAATTATTTGTGCAGTACTGTCCAACAGAATAGACAGAGCAATCTGGCTGGTCCCTGCAGCCAAGCAATAGCCAAACCGGCTACCTGGAGAGCCAAATCTGGATGGTCCCTGTAGCAAAGCAATAGCCAACCCGGCTACCTGGAGAGCTAAATTTGTCTGGTCGGAGGGTTTCACCGATCCAACATTCCATGAGCACAGCTAGGGCCAATGGTCATTTAAAGTTGCTTTGCTTCAAAACATCATTCTTTTTCTACCACTTTCATAATCAAAAGTTACTACATTAAGCTCCTAGAATCACGTATATTTTTCTGCTAATAGGATGAATAACAGAGAACCCATTCTAATTGAATTCAATTCAAAACATCTTACAAATTCTAAATTAAAATTCCTCAAAGTGGACTGTTTTTGTAAGTTATTTGAACTTTTAGGGTATCGGTTTAATTCTAAAAATCAATAGAAATTTGGTTCTATGTTAAAACTAATAAGAAATTTTGATAGGTTCTATGTTATTTATCCTATCATGTTAAAACAAGGGACGACTTTAGAAGCTTGATATAGTGAGATTTCGAATAATTTTATGAAAGAGAGGAAAAGGGGCGAAGTTTTGAAGCAAAATGACGTAAGCAGACACTGGCCCTAGCTGTCGTCACTCGTCAGCCCTCAAGGAACGGAGGATGGCGAGGCACGCGGGGCGGCCAACCGCACTCGCGCGATGGCACATCAACAGGGGCGTCGACGCCGTTGGCTATTCTGCCTGATTTCTTGTGCAATTGTGCTGGAGATGGTCCAAAGATGGCGATGCTTCATGGATGGTAACCTTACAGTTCAATACAAAAGGCTTAATGAGGCTCAGTATATTATGCATGGCTGATGGTAACGATGCCGCCTGTCCACACAGGCTTCAAGGATGAGATTCATTGCTGGAGCTTGGCCTAAATGATTTAACTTTTTTTTTTCTTTCTCTTCTGAGGGAATACACTGAGTAGTAATCTTCAGCTGGGTTTGAGCTTGTAAGGCTGTTGTGTTCGCCCGCGATGCAAGGTTCCACAGGGAATGGCTTCGGCCGCGTCCAGGTGATCTCCCGCCGAGTCGTCCGCGGCTCCGCGCCGAGCCGCCGCCGCCGCCACCGTTTACGCTGGAGGAAATCCACCTGACGCCGTGGGATCGTCTCGCCATGCTCACCCTCAACTACATCCAGGACGGCGTCCTTTTACCCAAGCCCGAGTGCGTGCACAGCCACCAGCCGGCCGTCGTCGTCGACGACCGCCTCGCGTCGGCGTTCGCCCGCGCCCTGGTCCTCCTCAGTGAGCGCGGCGCCGCCGACGGCGGCTCCACCTCCATCGCCACCGTGTCGCGCTGTGGTGCACTGGCGAGGGCGCCGAGTTTGTCCACGCGGCGGCACCCGGCGTCACGGCTCGGGCGCCGCTGTGCATTCCGCGCGAGCTGGTGTCGTCGCTGTCCCCGCTCAACGGGCTGCTCTGCGTCGACGCCGCCTCGTCGGAGCCGGACGCGGACGGCGGCTCCCGGCAGGCGGCGCCGCTGCTGGCTGCGCAGGTTACCGAGCTCGCGGACGCCCTGTCCGTCGCCGCAGCATGGTGAAGAGCAAAGAAAGATCGAGAAGAATATGAAACAAGCTCGATGTTGTTGAGACGGAAACATTGACTATTTGGATGAAGAACAATATGATGACCATGATGTTCCGCAAGACTCCATTTTTACGACGTTTTTGATATTTCTACATATATAATACGTAGCAAAAACTATGAATCTAAAAATATCAAAATATCTTATAACTTAGGACGGATTGAGTACTTTTTTAGCTCCTATTCAAACTATATTTGGCCATCTGGCGCGGGCACTATGGGCCGGCCCAGGCACGGCACGAAAAAGCACGGCCCAGGCATGGTCCGGCTAAGCTCCCACCGTGTCGTGTACAGCACGGTCAATGGCGATCTTGTGCACAGGCCACACGTGTTCGCTTCAGAGTGCCGGCACGGGCACGACACGAATATTGGGCCGGCACGATGTGGCCCGATAGTTTATAGCAATTAAATGATTTCAGGGATTTTCAGCCGTTGAATTGGAGTATATAATCACCTCCCCAAACCCTAACTCATAATTTCCCTGTACTCCCCAGTCCCACGGCCTCCTCCTCAATTTCCTCTCGTCCTCCTCCTTCTCGCAACCTCCTCCACATGTCCGATTCCTCTGTCCTGTGCCCAGACTCTCCACCACTGCTGCCCATGGTGCCTCCTCTTCCTGTCCCACGGCGTCACGATGACCTCGGCGCGGGAGAGCTGGAGAGCGGCGCGGCGACCACGGCGTGGCAACGCGACGGCAGCGCTCGGCCAGGGGCGCGTCCGCGCCGGATCTGCATCTATGGCGAGTCTAGGCGCGAGATCTGCAACGACTGCACGGAGTCGACTCGACGACGACAGCGGCCGGCGCGCGGCGTCGAGCCAGGGCCGACACGGGCACTGTGGGCCGTCGTGCCCCGCGGCATGGCACGGCACGACTCGGAGACCATAGTGCCGTGCCTGGGCCAAGACGACGGCACGGCGGCACTAACAGGCACGACACGGCTAGCTGGCGTGCCACATAGTGCCGTGCCTAGGCCCAGGCGTGCCATACCATGCGGCCCGGCATGGCACGGCATGACTCGGAGACCATAGTGCCGTGCCTGGGCCAAGACGACGGCACGGCGGCACTAACAGGCACGGCACGGCTAGCTGGCGTGCCACGTAGTGCCATACCATGCGGCCCGGTTGGCCATGTATAATTCAAACAGGAGCTCTATGTACTCTCTTCTGCCAATGTTATGAAGGTATTGATCGTACTCCTAAGCTTAGCGTGGTGTTATAGGTTGGAGAATAGGAGGATTACGGAGATGACGGATAAGACTAATCCCAATTGTTATATGTTGGAGAAGAATAACAATAAGACAACACAAAAAAGGTGAAGACCAAAGAGAGATCAACAAGTGTTTCGATGAAGCGCAATATGAAAATCATGGTGTGGGTGAGTGCACTGAGATTCGAGCTATAGGTTTGTTAGAAACGGATGGCAACGGGTGCGGCGATGAGTGGATGGTGAAACTCCTAAAAAAGGGTGCAAATTTAAGATCTCGTGTTTTATTTTTGCTTCTTATTCGGCAAGATGTTGGGGAACACTAGTTGCATGCAAACTGCTGCTCGCCTGCCCTTGAAGTAAAGCTGAACCGTTTTTCTTTTTTTTTCCATGTATTTACAGCAACCGCGAGGACTGGCATCAGCGCTGCCTTGAATGCGCTTTGTGTACTCTCACACGCTTGCTTTCTGATTCTATTACCTCACGTCTATCTGTTGCAATCTTAATTTCCGAACCTGGTCTTTCGGTTGGCTTGATTTGGCCAAGACTATATGCATAATCTGCCTCTCACTCGGTCTCCTAATTTAACGCATTATTTTAACATGCAAAGATACTGCATCTGTGATATTATTAATTTAAGGATTTATTTCCATGCAATATATGTATGGATACACGTGTTATTCTACACCATAGGTGTAGAATATATTATTCTACACCAAATTGTTATACTGAACAAAATTCAGAACTGTTCAGTAATCACGTGTCAGTATTATTCAATATTTCGTGGTACCTGGTGTAGTATTTACTGATACTGAATGTGGGCACTAGTACTTAGTATTTGTTCTGGTTAGTTTTGGCTTGCGGTATAATATTATTCTACAACTAGGGTGTAGAATAGCACTACCGTATGTATGAATTGATACATATATGTATTATTGGATTTTTTTTTATAAATTTGGACAATATATTGAGAAAACTCCATGTCACTTTTTTCTTCCCCGTTAAAAACCCCCCGAGGTATGTACATCATAAATATACGTCTTCTTTTCTATATTACTAGGTATATGCCGTGCGTTGCATCGGGATCATAGTTTTTTTTGACTGAACCTCATTAGTACTCGGACGCAGACGCGTGAGCTCCAAGGATTTCGTATTAGATGTGGACACGTGGATCGGGTCTTTGTATTAGAACCGAGTAGGATATGGACGCGTGAGCTCCGAGTAAAGGATGATTTATATCGGACGTGGATACATGACGAAGAGTAAGATCACCGGCTAGATGATTAATTTAGAGTTTTTTTTAGGTGCAGAGATATGTCAGTCTGGCACGTAGGAGCACGCTGCTCGCTCATAGTCAGTCTCTCTCTCTTACTATGTGACTGCACAGGCGCGCTGACGCTAGGATCAGCAGCAGGCACGGCAGTGTAGGGATTCGTGTGCAGCATACAAGAAATTACGAATCCTTTTTTCTCACTCGAGTACTGCCCCTTTATTACTATCTGCCGATATATAGCTAGCAGTCTGTCAGGTTTATAAATTTGGGGTCCCTTATGGACCTGCTTTCTAATAAAAACTGGGCCCAGTAGATGACGTTGCGAACGATGCGCAATTCCTGGGTCGGCCCAAAAACCTAACGACAGACCAGAAAGGCGATCCAGTCTCCGACCGGAAGGCCTGGCCAAAGAGGAACGACGCTCACCCGGAAGGCCTAGCCGAGAAGGACCGGTGCT